TGTTTGGCTGTATAAGGCACTCAACTATATAAGAAAAATCACTGCTCTATAGAAAATATCTGAAAACAAGTTGGGTAAAGAAAAGATACAAAGTTTGCCTATTAATGTATGGTAATAGCTAGGCAAGCAAACTTTCTTGACTTACTCAAAGTGGAAAAGGCACCATGAGAGTGTCAGGGCTTACACCTTCCAGTATTTTTGCAGAATGGAAGAAAAACTAAATTTTTTCAACTTTGCTAAGTAGCCTAATAGTTAAAAGTTATCACAAAGGAAATTGTCAAATGCTTCATAAACAGACCATCTAATAAGTTTACAAAAATCACTAAACCTAGCAGAAACTGTTTTTACCATGTCCAGTTACCCCTACAAAGGAATTTACTTCATAATCCATAGGTGCAGTAACTGATTTTTATCATCTCCCCTCTGTTTATTTTAGTGATCACTGGGGCCCCAGGAATCTACCCATGCCTAACTAAGCAGAATCCACCTTTTCAATGCCTAGCACATGCAATTTGACCACCCTCTCCCATTTCCATTCTCAGGAGTACAAGCTAAAGCAGGCCCGCCCCAACCAATACATTATACCCCCCTTCAGAGGCATAACGATTAGGTTAGGAATAGTCACGTAACCTTCAGAGCCAACAAGAGAAAATGATACTTTCCTAGATGTCTCTGGAGGAACCTGTCACTTTTTTCTCTGGACGGACTCCAGAAAGGAGGTAGGGGTTAGAGTAACTGCCATCTTGCTATCACAGATTATCTGACACTGACATGAAAATCCCTTTTTGACTTCTACATACAGCTATGTGTACTAAGGCAGATCAGTTGTGGACTTCTGAACTACATGAACAAAGAAATTATCTTCTTTAAGGTGATTTGGGCCAAAATTTCTCTGACCTTCAACCAAAGATGGCCTAGCTGATAGGATCATTATTTGTAATCATTTCTAATGTAACCAATGAAGGCAACATCACTAAACAGAAGTTTTCTGCCTCTAGTGAGCAAATGACCATTCTGTTGACAAAAGACTATTTTTTATACTACTCATTTATAATATATGAAGTTTCAAAAGCTAAATTTTGAGATTATATTACCAGCTCTCCATATACAATATTTTTCTGCTGTTCCATCTCAATACTGAATATTCTATGGAGAACAACTAGAGTCAATATTGTTTGTATATATATTTGTGTGTGTGTGTGTATATATACACACACACACACAAAAGGCCAATGTAAAAGAAAGAGTTGTATGTGACTCAATCCAAATAAAGGGCTAATATACACAACTGCCTGATGTTTAAATAAATGCAGCCGTATTAGTTCACAATTTTGTCATTACCAGATTTTATGTTAAGTCATGGGCACAAAAAGAACAATGATTAAAAATAAATGAAGATTATTTTAGATCCTTAACTAATATAAATGAACAAAACTAAATTCAATAGCAAGGTAAAGAAATGTCTCAAAAGCTATCTGCTCAAGAAGTTTCCAAATATGTAAAAGTATTTTTTATTATTATTATTAGTTTTTATTAATTAATTTTAGTTTTTACAAAGCTTACAGAACACATATCACTGTTTGACTAGAAGGAAAGCATGTTTCACTTCATTCTGTAGACAGATCAGCCATATACCACTAATATCACTGAAAGTTTAAAATGAAACTGCAGATTACCAGCACAAGGCACAGCTGTACCCTAAGAAAATCATGTTAGCGTCAATCAAATTCACAGTTAAAAGAATTTCAATTTACCATGTACTAGTACTCTTGAAGTTGGGCATTTCACCAGTAGTAAAGTTATAAAATGGTAAATGTAAAACCATTATGCTGACCTATAGGGTCTTCTCATAATTTGATTCATTTTCAGCATGAAACTTACTAGCATTTACACTAACATAAAGCATAAAAGACAACTAACCCATGTTATACAAGCAGACTAAAGGGTCAGTTAATTCAAATAAGTGTGTTAGTAGAAACACTGTTTACTTTATATACACCTAACCTATGATTAGCTGTGCCATAAAAAAAGATCAAAGAAAAAAATTTAGGCATCACAAAGGAAATGTGACAATAAAAAAGATCATACTGGCCCATTTGCAAAAGACTTGATTGTGGGGGGAAGGGAAAAACTGACTTAAAAAACTTAGAAAATTTAAAAGTAATGATAAGTTGGGCCCTCCCTGGTGGCGCAGCGGGTTAAAGCACAGCACTGAGAATCTAAAGCCGCTTCCGCATGAGTTCGATTCCTGCCTGCCCCGGAGGTGACCACATGGCTTGGCAGATCTCTCCTGACCCGCCCGCTGCTCCCCTCAGCAGTGTACTTTGTCGATCTGCCTGTTCTGTTCCCCACTCTGTCTCTGGTGAAGCCTCTCACCACCCCTGAGCCTCTGGCCTATACCCCAGTTCTGTATGCACAAATAAGTAAATTAAAAAAAAATAATAATGATAAGTTTAAGTTTACATAGTATATGGCTCTTTATTCTAGAAAACAATGCTGCTAATTTTAATTAGCATATAAAACATCAGTTTAATCAAGTGTACCTTTAAATACAGAAGTCATTATTATCCTTTATTGTTTCAGGATCTAAAAATACTGCATAAGCATGGTATGGTTACATATATCCAAAACAATATAAACCGATGTTCCTAAAACATAATCACTATTGCTAACCAACACTGACTGCCTAAGGAAAAATTTTTAAGTTTGTATTAATTTTAATGGGCATATTTGTCTGTAGGTAAGTTGCCTTCCTGAAAGTTTTCACATTTTCTGAATGTTTTCAACCTAATTATACATGCAGATTTCAGGGACATTCAGTTATTTTTAATTTTTAGAAATTAAAAATAATTTTCAGCATTAAAATAATACACATAAACATAGGTCATCACTTTTGCTAGTAATCCAATATGCAAATCAAAACAATTATATATAATTTTTCATGCATCAAATTGGCAAACATTTAAAAGACTGAGGGGGTACAACTGCTTACCATTTCAATATCCAAATCTTAAAATAGTTGTTACCTTAACTCTTCCAAAATTCTTATTATCATAATTAACTCAGATCACCTAGATTGGGAAAGTTGTTGTTACTATTTTGTTTAATCTGTAGTGTGTAATACACAAAAACTAGTTTACAAAATCATTTAGAATTTTAAATTACAATTTGCAAAGATATAAAACCAGAGTTGTTTTGAATAAATAGATTTGAAAATGATTAGCATTAGCAGATATGTATGTATACCTTCCCCAAATGATCTAATTTTAATAACTTTTCACCCTGGAATACTCTGAACAAACACTGGCTTCTTGTCATGTACCTCTGAATTAACAGATGGTTAACTAAATATTTATGTGATTCTTTTTTACTTACTATTTTTTATTGAGGGAACAATGGTTTCTACCACTGTATATGAGTAAGAGGTGCAGTACAGGTCCACACCTCTTCAGATTAAGTTACCACATCATAATTACCACAAAAACATCCAAAATCCTTTGCCACAGTCCACTGGCTCTCTTCTCCTCCCTTTGCTCCCATGGGAGGCTTTTACTTTCCATTTGGCATATTTTCTGTATTCTTTTTCTTTTCTATGCATATAGTCTAGAATAGTGATTAGTGGGATACCGTTTTTGTTTTTCTTTATAACGTTACTTTTGAAAATTATAAAGAAGCAAAAACAGAATGATGAAATATCTTTGTCAATTACCATAAAATTTTTTATATACCTTTTTAACTTTTAGTAAGACTCTTGGTGTGCTGATAAGCAAACCAAGGATTAAGTCAGTTAAGCAAAAACAGTTCAGTGGCCTAACAAAGAACAAGAATGTTTCCCTATTTTTAAAGATTTATAACCAGTTGTGATATGCCTTGACAAACTATACCTGTCAATTAATAGTTGCGTTCTTTCTAATTCAGATTATTAAAAGTCATGGTATGGAAGAGATTGATATTACCATATTGCTAGACTATCCATTATTTGAACATATGAACTACAACCAATGAACTACATGAAGTATAAATCCAAATGCATTCCAATATAATGTTTCCTTACTGTGGAGAATAATTCTATCTGCTAACCATGGGTAGAGGGTAGCAAAGGATGAAAATACAAGACCCGGGAAGGCAGAACTGCAGGGGGATGAGCAGGCAAAGGGCCAGAGAGACATGCTTCAGAGCAGCGACGCAGCGACGCACAGAGAGGCAGTGACAGCTACTTTAATGAGCACTTAGCTGGTGGTCTCTGTGCTTGAAAAGGCACTGCAGAAACTGAGCAATGTTTATCACAACTTAGTTGTAAGTTAAACTTTAGGTTTAATATGAAATATAAATGGACCAGGAAACCAAATTTGTGTATATTTATGACAGTAAAAGCATAATTATTAAATTTCAATGAAATGAAATTTACAATAAGAGATAAATATGTCTCTACTTTCTCTTAGAATTGCTGATTGACATAAGTCAACAGCAAACAATTAGAAAAAAAAACCCAAAAATCCTTTCTATGGCTTAGTTGCACTGTATTAAAGAGGCTAAGAGGAGAGTAAACATCAGGAAAGGAAAGGAGGCTGACTACATTCCAGACACTTGATGTGTATTCTCTTATTTAATATTCACAAAACCCCCCGTAAGGCACACGTTCCAAACCCCATATGAAGGCACTCACCCCACCCCTCTAGGCCCCATAACCAGCCAGCAACAGAGGACTTTCACATTCCACGTTTGGAAACACCCTCACTTGTTCTTTGTCTCCTACCACTTACACCTCATACAAAAATGAACATGTTAAGTAAATGGTTAAAATAACTGAAAGATTAGTAATCCAACCCAGCTAATTCTTACCTAGAAGTTGGTGAGAAATATGATAAAGTCTAAAGAGCATCAAGAATAGCAAAGCACTTTCATAGCTCAGACTCTAAGGTACATGGCGCCACCTACTGGAAAAGGCAAAGTCAACATTCACTATAAGTATTGCTTTCTGTAACGCTCAAATTACTTACCTGAGGCTGAAGCAAAGCAACCAGGGATATAGGGAGACCAGATTGTGCTATAAATTACACTTTCATGACCACTAAAGGTGCACAGAGACTTTCCAACGGTTGGATCCCACTACAAATAAATGAATAAATAAACTATATTTAATGGCTAATTCAAATGTATGCTTTTACATATATAGTATATAACTATTATGTATCTATAGTGCAATATATATATGTATATATATACATACAAAAGTCTTTAAGTAAATTTTTTACATAAAGCAAAACAGCATTCAAGGGATCAAAGTAAAAATTCTAAGTTAATCATTAGTTTGCTGACAAATGATTAGAAAATTTTAAATTCTAATAAATGTTTTAATGGTTTTTAAAGAAAATTAGTCATCCAATTGAAAAGTTACAGAAGCACGTTCTAGGAACGAAAAAAGTTAAGTGGAAGCTTTGGGGAAGAGAACATTTGCTTTTAAATACAGTAAGGCTGACATACCAGTTTCACAGTTTGATCCCATGAGCCAGACACCACAAGCTGTTCACCTCTGGTTTGGCTCCAGTCAACACTATATACCTAAGACATTTCAAAGGGACAATTAGACTATAAAAGATGGTCAAGTTCTATATTACACTTTATCTCTTTATAATTGTGATAGCCCAGTTAGAACAATTAATTCACTTTATTGCAACATCAAAATAAAGTCCTACAAATCCCAAAAGGGAATCTGAGAAATGGAAAGGTCATTTTGTCAGTTGTTGCAGATTCATTCCTTACGGATAAAACTCCACTGTACTTTAACAGTATTCTACACAGTATTTCCAAACCTTCTTCACTAAAACAAATTATACACGCTTTTAAACCTACCAACAAATCACTGTTTGCAGCACCCTGAAGAAATGTCAAAGCAGATTAGAAGTTGGTCATCTAAAAAAGCTTGCCAGGTCAATGTTTATCAGAAAGCATTAAAATTCAATTAATATCCCTATTTGGCCTTTCTTAGAAAAAGCTTGAAGAAACCAGGTGATCCTTTCAGATCTCTTGGTAAACAGTTTTTGTTATCCAGTGCTGCTATTCTAATCTATGCTTCACTGCTCTCCGTGAACTACTTCAAATGAACCTTTTGAAAATTCATGGAAATATTTTTCATTTTATACAACACATTATGTATAGATCACTAAGTTCAAAAAGATGTGCATAACAATATTTATGTGAAAGCAGTATTGATATGAATTTTAGTATATGTGGTTAAATGAGATCAGCCAACAGCGTTACTTTGAATTTTAAAATTCTACTCCACTTATTTAAGAAATATGAGTGCTCATGGTTTATTATGGCTTAAGAATGGGTTTTTTTTTTTTACCTCTGGTGCTTAGTGCTTAGCCATGCTGGAGCATGCATTAAAAAAAATATCGAATTAATCCAGAAACTGTATTTAAAAAGTGAAAAAAGAACTACAGAAATAAGGATGAAAGGAATGTCAAAAAGGAAACTCAGCTTGATGACCCAAAGAGGATTCAAGGGGGCTTTGAAGGGTGGCAAATGTCTGTAGCATAAAGCAGAGGTAAAACAGTGAGCAGAAACTCCCCTAAAGAAGAAACAGATATGGAAAGTGCCCTACGGATGAGGCCCAGCGGGCACTGCATGGTTACACCAACGCTCCTGGGCTTGAGGCTCGGTGACAGTGGCATTACAAACTGGAAGGCTGGAGGAAAGAAGATAATGTGTAATTTTAGACATACAGAGTCTGAAGTGACAGCAAGAGAGTCACTTAGACATGTCTACTAAGAACAGCGTTGGGCATTAACCTCAAGGTAAAAAAAAAAAAAAAAGTTTACAGCCAGAGAGATGTTTAGGAAACAGTTGAAAAGGGATGAATTGACTTCAATCAATTCACTGATGTGTTCAACAAATATTTATGAAGCACCTTCTATCTACGCAGCGTAAAAGGCTGGGATAGGACAATAGACAGGACAAAGTCCTGCCCTTAGTAATCCAATGTTTTAGCAGGTTCTATATAAATATGTTTCAGGTTGTGATTTAGGAGGAAAACGATAACATAAAACAAAGCAAAGAAAGGAGACAGGGGCACAATGACAAAGGCAGAGGGTCATTTTACACTAGAGAGTCAGGAAAGATTTGTCTGAGCAGAGACCTCAGTGCAGAAGAAGACACCACTGCAGATTTGAGAGGAAAGACTTCTGAGAGAAGAACAGAGAAAGACCCTGAAGCAGGAAACAGAGCAGCATGTCTGAGTAACAGCGAGGCCGAGTATCCCAAGACAAGACCTGTGCAAGTCGGTACATAATTTCTCCTGAGCATGAGACTCATTATGCTGTTGCTTATTTCCCAAGGGGCAAAATCACACACGATTTAGGGAAGTATTACATTTACATAGTAAAAATACAAAATTATAAATAGAAAATGCAGGATAGTGACTACTTCTAGGTAGAAAGGAAGAAAACAGGAGGCAGACAGGAAGGACAGTATCAGAAGGGAGTCAGCAAAGGCTCCAAGCACTAGGTGACAGCTTATTTCCTAGACAAGGAGGTGAAAATGTGATGCTCATTATACTACTTTTATTATATTTTATGTATATTTTAGACACATGGAATGTTTTTTTTTTTTTAAATCAACGTCTTCACACTGATCTTAGTGTGAACTAATTGCTGTAAACACTAACTACTCCAGGCATACTTTGCTTTCTTCCCCTTCAGTCATGAAGGCTCTCTTCGCCTCCAATCCTGTTCCTCTGGCCTCTTCACTTAAATAGCTCATTCCTACTCTCCCTTCAGACTCAAGGATGTCCCGGTGCCTCCCCCTAGACAAGACCCTCCACTCTCTCAGCACTTGGTACAGTCACAGCGCCCACCACATTATAAATTAGGTAACTAGCAGCTTACACTTTTCACCCCTAGGGAGGAAGGATCACAGAAGGCCACGGACAATGCTATTCATCTTGCACATCTTTCTAGCCAGACCGAGGACAGGTCCTTGCAGACAGCAGAGCTAATCAAAGTTTTTGGAATGACTGAAAGAACAGAGAGACAAATCTAGGTGGAAAGTACCTCTCATATCTTTTCCCTGGCCCCAATTTCCCCCTCTATTCCAATTCAAATGCTAGATATGGCAAATGGTCAAGTTAAATATGAAAAAAGAAGAGAGAGATGTAGTTATGCTTTAAAAGCAAGGTCCTCTAAAGGCCTACTTTAAGAAATTATTCTTGGCAGTGACAGAGAAATAATTGGAAAACTGCAAAAAAGGAAAAAAAAGTGAACCATGTTTTGTGCTGCTTTATGAAATCTGAACCTCATCAAAATCAGAGTTTGAGAGGACAAATTTTATTACTGAAACCAATTCCCAAAGAGTACATTTTTAATGTACTGTATAGTACTGCCCTTTTTAAGTTGGTCTTTTTAATTAAAAATCATCAAATAAAAACTATGTCCAGAATGTCCACGCTTATCTGTATCAATACAAAGAAAAGGGACACTGACTTTTAATTACTGAGCTACTGGAAAAGGCTACATATTTATTTTAATGTGAAACTTAAATTAAATTTTTTTCATTATATAAGTTTTAAAATAATAAGTCTCCAGGTACCCACCACATACCCTTTATAATTATCAACGCTTTGTCCATCTGTTTCATGTGTCTCAATACTAGCTGGCTGGCTGACTGACTCCAGGCCACTTTATTCAAAATACTTCAGCAGGAAAGGACATTTTTACGTTTTTATATAAGTACAAGGTCATTTCACACCCATCTAGATTATCAACAGTTTCTCAGTATCATCTAATACTCAAGCCATATTCGTATTTCACTGATTATCCAAACGTGTCTTTTCACAGTTTATTTGAATCAGGATCCCAACAATATTCACACCTTACAGTTATGTCTCTCTTGAGTCTCCTCTAATACAGGAAAGTATTCCTCCTCCCAATTCGCTTTTCCTATCCAAAGCTTCCCTCCCCAGGATATTTATTTGTTGAAGAAAGAGCTGTTCGTCCCTAAGAATGTTTTACTGTCTAGATACGGCTAATTGTTTTCTCATAATTCGTCTTTCTTCTACTTCCCTATTTCCTTTAAATTTAAAGTTAGATCCAGAGATATGGTTAGGTTCAGCTCAGCCTTTTTCTCAGTTTCCTTTTATTTGAGGAGGTGTCTGATTTTCAGGTGACCCACTTTTAGTAATCCTAAGATTGTTCAGAAGATGTATCAATATTAATGGTTTCATTTCAGCATCCACAGACAACCCTTGCCTAGACTCACTATTTCACTAGGAAATACTAAATAGTGGTTGTCTAATGGTTATGTCTCTGCATTTATTAGCTAGAATTCTGTTATTAAAAATTTTATGGAACAAATATTTAACTATCCCACAATAAAATTCATACAGGAAAGAGATAACAAATGGGAGAATAAGTGATTCTTTATTATTACCCATTTTCACAATAAGTTGATTGTCCTACTGATCTTTAATGGAAACCAGTTTTTTCTAATCATTATAATTCCATGTAGTGGCTGAAAGTATACATATGTGGGGGGGAGGGAGGCAGTTTTTCAATTCATTGTGGTCATTCTCTTGGACAATCAAATAGTACCACATAGCCAATGAGAGTCTCTTCTAAACTTTTGATATGATCCCTGTTTCCTTCCATACCTTTCTAACTTTCTGAATCATTCTCAGATTCATCTTGTATACTTCCTGTCCAGGACTGAAATCAACTATTTCTCCAAAGATCCCTGTTCCTTTTCGTTGAACTCAGTATTTGAAGCATAATCTGGGCTCTTAGGGGTATTCACTGTGATTGAGCTGTCATTGCATCTGGGTGTTTAACAGATTAAGAACTAGGACATATATACTATTTTAGAAAAAGTAATAAATCCGCTTATATGGATAGCTCCTATTCAATTTTTAAGATTAAATGTTAATCCACTGAGGGGAGCAGCAGGCAGTCCAGAGGGGTCTGCCACGCCATGTGGATCACCTCTGGGGCTCACACTGAAGCACCTGCAGCTAGCTTGCAATGCTGCACTCTAACCCATTGCCAACACTTCAAAAAAAAAAAAAAAAGTTATAGGCCCTCCCTGGTGGCGCAGCGGGTTAAAGCACAGCACTAAGAAGCTAAAAGCCACTTCCACATGAGTTTGATTCCCGCCTGCCCCGAAGGAGATCCACATGGCCCAGCAGACCTCTCCTGACCTGCCTGCTGCTCCCCTCAGCAGTGTACTTCGTCGATCTACCTGTTCTGCTCCCTGCTCTGTCTCTGGTGAATCCTCTCACCCTCCGCATCTCTGGCCTGTACCCCAGTTCTGTATGCATAATTAAATAAATCTTTAAAAAAAAGTTACATAAAATTATAGCTAAAGTTAAAAAAGGGCCGTGAACTTTAGTAATACAGCTGGAACAATCTACAGCGGCAGTAGAATGTGGAAAAGAGATTTATTTTAGTTGACTTTCTGTGGTTGGTGGCTGTTTGCTAGCCATAAGATAATGGTAGTTGAGGGGAGCAGTGGGCAAGACAGGCGAGGTCTGCTGTGCCATGTAGGTCACCTTCAGTGCCGGAGATTGAACTTATACTGAAGCAGCTGCGGCTAGCTTGTAGTGCAGTGCTGCATCCTAACACGTTATACCACCAGGGAGGGCCCCACTCCACCATTTTCAAGGAGAAACAGAATTCTTTAATACAATTTTTCCAAAGAGAGCAGCATACTGTATGGGCATATGAATTCTGACTGTTGGTCCTTGCATATTTTGGACTTACTTCCCAGAGATGTAGTCAGTCAGTCAGATCAAAACCTGAGAATTTTGATGAGTCAGCATGACTCAGAAATTATGGATCAGTTCTTCACGAAAGATGGTGTTATTGTAAAGCATGTCACTAGTGAGAGGAATTTATAACCTGATATCAGGTTCAGTCATTGATACCAAGCTATACAATTCTTGATAGTATTTAATGAATGCAATGAAATTTATTGTAGGAATCTCATAAAGACCATCCTCCATGAGACTGCCAAGAGGAAGACACCAGTTAAACACTATAAAGAATCAGATTCCTGCTTTGATGCTAAATTTAAAAGTTAAGCATATGGATAATATCTATTTTTTTCTTTTGTATCTTTTCACCATCATTATTCCACAAGGCCTAAAATATATTGTTTTTAATTTTCTTTTTGCTTCAGTACCTACTCATCTAACTATCTGAAAACTGATAGTTGAACAACTCTCAGTCATTAAACAGTAGAATGGGTAGCTGGCGGATACCTAACGTGTTTCATAATTTCTAACCCTGTTATAATAAAAGCAAGTAATAGCTCATATTTACTGAGCTTTGGATCTTTCCTAAGTGCTCCCAGCAACCGTATGACACAGACTACTATTATCCTCAGTTCACAAAGGAAGAAACTAAGCTTTAGGAAAAATAAGTGGCTTTCCCAGGGTCACAAAGCAGTGTCAGAGTCTAGACTCACCTCAAGCCTGCCTGACACCACGCTGTCATCCTTATACTTACTCCCCAAAGGGGGATATGACTCATTGTTTGCTATTCTGACACATAATGAAGCTTCCCTAAAAATGGTGAGACAGGAATTGGCCACACCCAATCACTTATTAAATTATTTAGAAATATTTATTAGCACTTCAAAAACTCTTGCTTAACCTTAAATCCTTTCAAGTATTGCTAAGTATTTGGTTTAAGAGATGCTTTGAATACATTCTGTATTTCTCTTTCATGGAAAGGGCTATGGGTATTGTAACATGGACCACCAGAAATTCTTCCTCTTGGCAGTCTCATGGAGGATGGTCTTTATGAGATTCCTACAATTCTCTATTCACCACATTGCTTGGTGTAGCTTGATTTTTACTAAAAACTGATAAGGAAGACAAGGAGGAAGGTGGAAACACCCAGAGATGGTTGGCTCTCCAACAGTCAATCCCTTTTCTTCCTCGTTTGTAAAACCCCAGTTCTGTCCCTCGGAGAAATCTCTGTCTCCTCCCTGCTCCAGAGCTGACTTTTGTGTAACTGAAGACAGGAGTAGTGGCTTGCTTCCCTCACAGTGACAATGTTAAGACTGGAAACATAATGCTCCTTGGGCACTGAGGTGTGTACTATAGGGTATTAAGGAAATTTTTTTTCCTTGTTTTCGGCCCAGGGCGTTTGTTTTTTTTTCTCATTGATCTAGCAAGGTGATGAGATGACATTTCAATCTACAAAAAGTACAAGAAGGAAAGTACCCCCCTGAAGATAACAGCAAAACAGCAGAAGCAAGGGTACTTGTCAAGCCCCAAATTAAAGAAGCCTGGAGCCATTCTACCACCAAATACTTGGTAGCATGAAATAATAAACTCGGACTATCAAAGCCATTTTTAGTTGGGTTTTCTATTACATGCATAGCTGACAGGCATCCTGATAAAAGTACTCATTAAAAACTGTCTTTGAAAGCAAAGTAAAGAAGGGCAATCTAGAATAATCGTCCGCCAAAACCAAAAAACAACAACAAAGCAGTTTCAGTTCAAAAACTGCCAGTTGTAGAATTATACTTATATACTCTTTTAATAGCAGTGCAAATAACAAACACCCAGGTGCTCACTAGTGAACCCACAGAAACCCCACACTGTGACATGACAGTGAAAGTGCACAGCTATGCTGGGTAACAATATTAGAACTAGAGGTTTAAGATCATGATGACAAAGTATTATAAAGTTCAGCCTGATCATCTCATTTTGGCAATAAGTTAGGCTTACAACATGGAAAGCAATACTGAAGAACAGAACACACAAAAGACTTTACCAAGAAGGTGAGAGATGTAGAGATTATGTAATCTGAGGAGAGACTAAGAGAATTACAGTGCACAGTACAGAATAAGGAAGACTAAAGGGGACATGCAGATAATGTTCAAGAGTTCCCCTAGACATCAAAAACTGGACTTCAACTCACCACTTCAAAGAAAAGCATAGGATGCAACAGTTAACTGATATGTAAGGTAGTTTGGGGCTTCAGAGAAGTTATTTTCTAACCACTGAAACAATCTAAAAGTCAAATAAGGCCTGTTACAAGATAGCGAAATTCACTTTCACTGAGATGAAGTAAAGACTCAGTGATCATTCATAAGGATCCTTTTAGAAGACAATTTCCCATTGAGTGGTACATGCTCCGATGATTGCACATGAGATGATTTTCACTGGTACGCACATCCTATCTTATTTTTATATACTTAACATATTATTTACATATTTAACATATTCTTTATATATTTAACATATTAACATATGCTAAAAACTAAACAAGCTATCAATCCCCTGGTGTCATGAATATTACCATTTTAGGACAAATGAAGCAAAAATGTAAAGTTGGTTTAATTTCTTCAGGAAGCTCTGCTTTATATGCAGTATTTGATGTTTTTGCTCCAATATATTCTGAAAATCTCGAAAAGTCCACCTACTTCTACCTTAAGGCAGTGCATGCCTAGCATAACCTCACAGCATAAATAAACCAAGGGGTCTCCTGGAGGAAGTGGGCCCAGTACATTTACTACTGCAGGCATTTCTAATGACTAATGAGAAGTCTGACCTTTTCTTCTTTCCCAGCTCTTTAGGCTAAGAAGTACTTCACGTTTGAACAGTCAAATAATATGCGACATCTAACATGCACAAGAAACACGAAAGCTTGAACTTCTTGTCCCCTGAAGACTTCCCCTATGAATCCATCCTCAAATGGAGTTCATGCAGAGAAAAGCAACCAGTCCAGAAGGCTGCCCTTCCTACCTCTTGAGTATGCTCCTTGTAGATCTGCAGCGGCCCTGTGGCTTTGGCAGTGTCCCAGAGCTGCAGAGAGCCATCGCCACTACCAGTGACCAGGACGTGTTCATTGTTCTCACTCCAGGTCACATCAAATAAACCATCATTCCAGTCAAAACTACACCAGAAAAATTAAACCAAAAAATCTAGTTAGATGAGCTAATGGAACCACAATCATAGCTTTCACAGTTTTGTTTTTTAGCTTATTACATATTCTAACACATTGTCTCATTTCATCTTTATAGTATAGGAGATAAGCAGAGCAGGTACTTGACGGATACACAAACAAGTGCAGAGAGATCAGAAGAAACTTAATTATTAAGCCCAGGGTGTAGAGCTAGTGAAGGAAGAAGTGGGTTAAACGAGGCCTCCCTGTAGGGAGGGTGCTGTTGACAAGAGGGTGTGCTGTCACACCCGGGTGCTCGCTGTTTGTGGCTCATAGGATGGGCTAGCAAGCACTGGAAAATACTAATTTAGAAATCAATAATTTCAGCTTTTCTTATAAATTGTTCACATGAGCAATGAGCAGGTGGTTATTTTCTAACAGAATTTCCCTTTCTTTCTCTAACTCTGACTAACTCTAATGGGGGTGATAACGAGTCCTACGTCACACAAGGCCAAGACTGCAATGGAAAGAAGAAAGGAAAAGAAGCACTAGATAAGTCCCAAAATGGATAATTAGCTCCTGAATAAGTAAGGTTAAACTACAAGAAGAAAGCAAAGAGAGGCTATGTCACACAGTATACTATCATGTTTCCCTTTTTTTAATGTTTAAGTATTATAATTTATAAGTGGACTCAAAGAGGCAAGTGCTTTGGAAGGGACATAATTCCAACTTAATGGCCAAAATAAGTTCTATACTGTGCATCTTTATTGAACAAAAAATTCAAAACCTAATCCTAATAAAGTTTTAATAGCAAGAGAAGATACATAGAAGTTTCACAGTCACCTTACCTTCTAAAAATCCTAAGCCCAGATTCATTTTGATCCAATATCAGGAGGGTTCCACAGCCTAAAGAGAAAAAATACATGTTGTGGAGAGGCTACCTAAGGTTAAGGAGCACTTATCAAGCACTGAGTAGCTAATTTTACTATCACAAATGTCTCCCTACAAGTTAATGAGACCATTATATAAAGTGATCAGGACCGTGCTCCCCAGATCTGTCTTCCCAAATTGTGCTTTAGGCATTAAATATTAGACACATCATCTCACCAATAACTGGATTTAGACACAGCCCAAATAGAAGGGAGAGAATTGAATGGCAGGTGCCAGCCACACAAACTTCCCCAAGAGGAATTTTGGTCATAACTTATAGGTAAAAAGCTTCAAATCCGCAGGTTCCAAGGACTGCGCTCCTTTTACTACATCAAACTGTCACCCAGTAAATCGAAAGTACATGGAACTGGGGATTTTTAAGCAAAACACCTGGTGGACTTTACTACATACTTGGTGGCAGGTGCTTAACACAGAACCTCCATTCTAGAAGATGAACTATTTAATTGAAGAACCAGCATATTTAAAGGTTTTCTTATAGGGATGGGGGAGTCACTTCTATTTAAATATAACTGCCTTTTAAAAAATATGAACTTCTTTTGGGAGATATTTAAAATATCATTATAAACTTGAGTCATTAATACTTGTCTGGTGGGCAAGTATTGTAAAGCTGGTTGTCGAGCATTGTAAGTTGCAAGCACGAAGAGCGAACGGTGAAAAATAGTAAGTAAAACTTAATCTGAGTCTTTGAAATTAGTCCACCACCGTCACTACAAAACCAACAAAAACTACTGAGATCTGACAAGCAATGACTTGTTTCAGAGAACTTCCGTGAGTAAATGGAAGCAAGAATGTAACATCAATCTGGTGAATTAGTTGAACCCCAAACTGGGGCTTGCAAATATCCGTCTTCTTCCTGATGAGACAACAAAAATGAGATCAATCTTGATAAAATCCCTGATGGCACTGCAGGGTAACTCGCAGTCGGCTCGGGGGCAGTCTTCTCCCTCCAGGCAGCCCGAGGGTCAACAGTGGGGGCTGGGGCTAAAGAGCAGACACTGGGGTGGCGCTACACACGGTCTTCCAGGACCCGTCGGACCGGTGGAAGGGGCCATGCAAGCTCTACAGGCAGTGGGCCGAGCTGAGTGAACCTAGGGGGAATCCGATGGCGGTGGAGTCGGGGCGCTCTGGAACCCGTGCACTGGCTACTTTCGCACTGCAAGTGGAAAAGGCGTCGACACTGCTCCGCTGCAGGTCCCCGCTCCGGGTCCCACAGCGGGCAAAGGACACGAGAGGCGGCGGCCTCTCTGCCTCCCCCTGGCGTTCATTTGTGGCACTGTCTACTGTCGGAAGTGCTGTCCCCCCCACCGGGAGAAGCGGAGCTTTGCGGGACCCGTCCCCGCCCCGCCGGCGCGGCGTGTCCGGGCCTCACCCGCGATGCCGTAGTGCTGCGCGGCGGCGCAGGCCAGGCGGCCCGGCAGGTACGGGGAGAACTCGGCGGCGTAGCCGTGGCGGCCCGGCACCCGCAGCGTCCGCGCCGCTCCTTCGAGCGCTGCGCTCATCCCGCCCGCAGCCTCCGAAACTAGCTATCCCGGCCACGGAACTTGTTCCGCGCCGGCGGATGACCGTCCGAACTTGTCAAAGTTAGGAGACCCAGGAAGACAAGGCGGAAGTGAGCACAAGTGGCCCTGGGTGCTGGATTTCCATTGGTTGGAAGAGGAAGGGCACTGACGCCTGAGAGAGCCATTTTTGTTTTGGGCACAACAAACTGATTTGCGCCCGTTTTGACAAGTTAGAGGGAAAAGGGCCACGATTCTAAGACCAATGGTTAGAACAACTTGTGTTCTTGCATATTAATCACTACTGCAGAACTTCTTAAAAAGTTATTGCATTGAACCTTTGAAAAACTGGCATTCAGAAATGTTCCTGAAGATTTTACAAAAATGAGGCAAGCTGAGGCAAACTCCGAAATCATGAGGCGAGTCCACAAGGCTACTGAGGACTACGTTGCTGTAGGTAACAGGGTAAGGTCAGAGTGAAAACGATTAAAGCAGTTTTTAAATTCTTACCTTTTGTGCTATAATAAATGCTCAGGTGCTGGGGCTAATGAAATAAAACTAAGACAATACAGTCAAGTCAAACACTTATGGAGTATTACTACTTGGCGGGTGACCATATATAACTTATCTGCCAAACAAGACACCTTTGAGAGGGTAAGAGGGTGCAGCTAATAATTAAGCAAGGTCGACGGGTACAAACCTAGTCATATGTCAGCTTAACTATACTCTGAGTATAGTGGCAGGCATTTGAGATTCAAAAGATGACTAAAAAATAGTTAAGCCATTAAGAGATAAGTCTAATAGACATGTAATTAGCTAAGCCAATCAAAACGCAGTAGCTACCAAGAGAAATGAAACGAAAAATTTTAAAGGAAGTTGTCTGTGTGGAGGTCATCTTTATAGTGAATGCAGACAGATGAGTAGGTTTTTTTTTTTTTTAATAAACAAGGAAATGAATCAGCTCATTATGGATAGAGCAGAAATAACATAAGCAAACCAGATGTGGTTGCTAGGACTCAGCTCCACCAGATGGAAGGGGTTTGATGAAGAAAATGTTTGGTAGAAGGACTAGAGTGTTGTATTGAGGCTGGATCTTAGGGCAGAAGGATCTTGTGTATCATACCAAAGGAATCAGTTTTCTCCTCAGTTTGAGTTTAAATAATTGGGAATCATTAAGGTTTCTAAAATGAGAAAATAAATGACTCTGTTTTCACTTTTAAAGGTCTTTTGGCAACAATAATTTCAAGAACAGAAGTTGGAATTGAGAACAGTTAAAAGCACTTCATCGGTAGTTCAAGCAAAAGATGGTAAGAATGGAAACAAAGATGGTTCTAGGAGTGGAGAGTAAGAGTCAGATGAAAGTTTAAGGCAGTAACACAAAGTGCATGACAGATAAGGAATAAAAAGGAGACAAATGACTCCCAGATTTCTGACTTAGGTTCCATGAGGGAGGCAAGGAATCCATCACTAACTTAGGTACTGTGGAAGGAGTCAGGAGCTTGTGACAGAATTCATAATTTGCATATAGATACCATTTATCTGCAAAAAGGACTTTCCTCCTGAGTTAGAAGCAGAGGTCATGCTACAATATGCCTCCTCTCATCCCTAACCCCCATAAGCCTCACATTCTTACCATCGCCACATAGATGCCTCATAGATGCCTCATAATCTGGCAAATTCCTCACACTTCATTTCCCTGCCTCAGAATCTCTTGGGGTAATTTTTATAGTGTTGATTCTTAGAGCACATCATGGACCTCTTCATTCAAAATCCCGTTGGAGGGAGGCACCTGGAAATATGCCTTTTAGTTGGTTTCTCTGGGTGATTCTCACATGTTGGTTAAAGCATAGAGAAGAAACACATTTGCAGAGAAGTGCTCAGTGCTGACAGAAAAACTCAGGCAAGGAAAACAAACACTGGTAGTTAAGGAGGAACTATGCTCCAGGGAAAACAAAACAAAACAACCTGGAGCTCTCAAAATGTTCAAAGAGCTGTCACCCTGCACAATTGACACCTTATTTGAAGACCTAATGATTGTGAGGTGTCATCCTCCTGCACCTGAAGGAAATCACGAGAGATGAATTACTCTCTCAGCAAAATGGTTATCATTAGATTCTAGAACTAGGCTTGTGTTGAATTATTTGGGATTATATCTGAGAATTGAATTTCAATTATATACTTCATTTTTATTATAATATGTAAGACTTCCTTCAATCATCTCAGGAGATTTTACTCGACAGGGAGCATTTTCTGTTTTTCTTTCTTCATGTTCTTTGTACTTGTGTAAACCTGAGACCCCAGTGTAGTCAGTTCCATCCCCATGTGCTATTTTCAAACTTGACATAAGATTTCTAATGAGTTCCCAAATCCCTATTAATGTAAATTCAGTTTTTCAACACACATAAATTCAATTCCAGCTTAAGCCCCATTATCCTGACTGAATCAACACAAAGTGAGGCCTCACATTCTTTAAGCTCACAGTCAGTGAGAAAAACAGCAGAACCAAACAACTGGTCACCCATGAATGTCTGCACCTGCAAATGAAGAGGACACTATTGACCTGATCCTCACGTTTTCCTTCTAGTGGTAGCCACTACCTGTGAAAAGACTTAAGGAAGATACCTCTAGTGAGGCCATATTATTTAACTGTTTTAATTACAAATTATCAACAGGAGTTGAAATTAAATAAATTAAAGGAAGACACTTCTAGTGAGGCCATATTATTTAGTGTTTTAGTAACAATTACATCGTCAACAGCAGTTGAAATTAAATAAACACTTGTAAGCTCATTTTAGATTCATTGAAGGATGATTACACTTAATGGAATACTGGACTGTGCCACAAAATAAGGGAGGGCAAGAGAATCTGATAAAGAGAGTGGAATGGACATGGGAACCTGCTGGAGTTAACTCTCCCTGACCAAACCTGGACAACTGAAATATTGATAATATAGCTTATAGCCAACTGAAAAAAAAAAATCTAGGAAATAACATTAACATATAAATAAATAATGGGGGAAAAGAAAATTTTTTCCCAGTAATACATTGCAACTAATGCAACGTGATCTGGAGTTAGCGCCTGGGATGCAGGAAGATTTCCTTTTCCTCTGAAGGACTTCAGAGGACAATGGAAAAGTTTTTTTGTTTTTTTTTTTAAGATTTATTTATTTGTACAGAACTGGGGTACAGGCCAGAGATATGGAGGGTGAGAGGATTCACCAGAGACAGAGTGGGGGTGCAGAACAGGCAGATCGATGAAGTACACTGCTGAGGGGAGCAGCGGGTGGGTCAGGAGCCATCTGCCCCGCCATGTGGATCTCCTCCGGGGCAGGCGGGGATCGAACTCAGGTAGAAGTGGCTTAAGCTTCTTTGTGCTGTGCTTTAACCGGCTGCGCCACCTGGGAGGGCAAATGGAAAAGTTTTAAAATGCTCTGTAGATAAGTTAATAGCTTTGTATCTATGTTAATTTCCTGGTTTTGATTGCTGTAATTTTGTGTATATGATAGTGTTCTTGTTTTTAGGAAATAAATATCTCAAGCACTTAAAAAATAGATAGGCAGTTAGATAAATAGAACAAACATGATTAGATGTTCCTAGCTGGGAATCTGTATAAAGGGTATACATAATTTTAACTATTTTTGTAACTTCTGTAAACCTGTAGTTATTTAAGTTTTATTTTAAAGCTAAACCTTTGGCTTCTAGTTCTACAACTTTACTTAAAGATACTACTCTATCCTAACAAATAAGAACCAATTGAAAATTATCAAGTCTTGGAGCTGTAAGAGAAAGGAATATATAATGCTAACCTCTGCTCTCAAGATTAATTGAGATTAATGCTCTCAAGACCATTAAAGAATCATGGTTTACTTACCAAAGCAGAAACTTCAAGCAAAAGCTGCCGCAGAAACCAGTGAGCAAAACTAAGCATTAAAATCATCAAGGGGACCCAGGCATAGATGCGAACCCATGATATTGTGAGATTTACCCCAGACCTTAAAGCAGGTATCCACTGTAAATATTTTATAAAAATCACCTTAAGAGCCTGTGGAGGGAGGGGGGAATCCACTCTGAAATATGCCAGAATTCTCTGTTCATAAGAAGGCCTGCCCTCAGGAGAAGCTAGTTCACAACCTGCCCAGGTTTTATCAGTGTCTGACCTGGAGGGAAGGAAATATCCAACTCCTGTCCATTTTAGACATCCTCCCTTGCTTAAGGAAGAGGAGTGCAGGAATACTGAGAAACACTTGTGAATTTCACAGCCCAGAGGTAGGCTCACTAAGATTGAGTTCTACCCATAGGAATATAGACTGCAATTCCTAAAGACCTATGCACCTGCAGTTCCTTTTCATCAGGTACATCATGCCTAGCAATCAAGAAAAAAAGATCACTAAGCTCAACACAATTTATAGAAAAGCGTAAACATCCGAACCAGACAAGGGGGGAAGTTAGACTCATTAAACAGGGAATTTGAAACAACCACCATTATTATGCTTTAAATCTCTAATGGATGTGGAGAGCAAGCAAGAATGGATGGGCGGTGGGACCCTCCCTGGTGATGCAGTGTGTTAAATAAAGCACAGCACTAAGAAGCTAAAACCCCATCAGCACGAGTTTGATCCCCACCCCGCAGGTGATCCACATGGGTAGGCAGACCTCTCCTGACCTACCCGCTGCTCCCCTCAGCAATGTACTTCCTCATTCTGCCTTTTCTGCTCCCCACTCTGTCTCTGGTGAATCCTCTCAATGCCCCTGAACCTCTGGCCTCTACCCCAGTTCTGTATGCACAAATAAATAAGTCTTAAAAAAAAAAAAAAGAATGGATGGGCAATATAAGAAGTGCTGAGACCAAAACACTGTAGCAGGAACACCTTAGAAGGACTCATTAATAGACTGGACACATCTGAGACAAGATCTCTATTCTAGAGGCTACATCAATAGAATCTTTGAAGAACAGACAGCAAAAAGAACAAAGCCTGAAAGAAACAGAATATCCAAGAACTATGGCATAACCACAAAAGGTGCATGTAATAGACCAATAATAGCAATTCCCAGAAGAAAGAAAGGAATAGAAAAAAAAATGCTTGAAATCATAATGATTAAGGATTTCTCCAAATGAATA